TACTTGAAACTGACGATTTTTGAAAAATTAAAAAAATTAAAGATTTTATATATTTTTTTTTATTTTACAGTGAAAAAAGGAAATTAATATTAAACTTGGAATTCAGTAAAAATAGAATTTATATTATAATGAAAACTAGAAATTAAATTCTAGAAGAGCTATTATAAAACATTCTAAGTCGAAAAAGTGTGTTTTGAGTTTTAAGCTCTCAAAGCTTAAACATATGTATTTTACATCTAAATGTGTATGCTATGTACATTATTTCTTATAACTTTTGAAGAGATCGACAGATCTGAACCAAATTTTCACACTGTATAAGTTAAATCCAGTACAAACAAGTTTTGTAAAAGAACTAAATTTTACGAAGAAATCTCACAAATTTAATCTTTTTATATTTACCCAGCAAAAAATAGTGCTTCCTCGGAAGCAGATTTGTAAAGCAGAGAGCAGTTATTACTGCTTGCACTTGTTATGAAAGAATATATGATTTTTATGTGGGATTCCTCTCGTAGAGGCTCTGCCTAAGGAATCCAAAATGTGCATATTTCATACTGTTGGTATTGCGCTGATTTCTGTGAATTAATATTATTTTTAAACATTGAACATTGATTTAAATTTAGAAAGATGCAAAAATTAAGTGATTTTAGAGCTGTTGAGCAAATTTCTACACCACAAACAATAATTGCTGAATATATGCCTTCCAAAATCTTTTTTGTAAGGCAATAATTTTAATGTGCAATAGAGGAAGGAGTTAGAGATGCAGTAGTTTCATTGCTTTTATTGCTTCCAAATCAAGAATATTTTTTGCTAGGTAAGTACTTGTTTACAGAAAACTTTCAAAAATTTTACAAACAGTTTTTTTGCTTAAAAAGATTGAAATATTCCTTATGCACCAAAACAAGCAATATTGTGATGCAACAAACTTTGAGAAATTTAAGGAAAAATATGAACAAGTTTCTAAAAACTATATGTGTACACTATGTAAATTTATTTTTAAAAATGCCAGAACATTGAAAACATTATGAGAACATTAGAAAAGAATTAACATTTCTGTCGAATATTCTTCAAAACTCAAAGTTTATTGAATTTTAAGCAATAATATTCCGTATTTTTCGAATTTTACATAAATATGTATTAATATTATAAATTTTTTAATATATTTCTTCTTAAAATATTACAATATTTTTAATTTTTTATGAAAATTTTAAGCTTTTCATATTCTCCGATTTTTTTGACGATTTCTTAGAACCAAAATGATGATTATTTAAAAATTTATCGGGAAATTGACGATTTTTTCAAAAATGTATGTATGTATGTATGTATGTATGTATGTATGTATGTATGTATGTATGTATGTATGTATGTATGTATGTATGTATGTATGTATGTATGTATGAGTGTATATTTTTACACTCAGAAAAAAATTTGAAACATCGAAAATTTAAATTTTTCTAGCTATGTATATAATGAAGCATTCAGCTCTGGTCCTAGAATAAACTGTAAAAAGAATTTTCGCAAACTTCGAAATGTGGTATAAAATGTACATATATTGTACTACATATTTTGAGGATAATAAACATTTTTGTTTGACTTCCGCTTCAGTTTCGCCTACACTGGCCAGAAAATGTGAGTGCATATTTGTACCCAGCAAAAAAAGAACTTCCTAAGTAGCGAAAACGAAGTAGAATTTACTCCATGGAAGTACATACTGAAAAAGACCTGAAGAAGTGATGATTTTAACACAGGCTTGTCATGGGAGGGATATTCCTCTTAGTTGATTTCCTAATTTACTACTTCTGAAGTCATTCTCAATAAGTAATTTTTATGCTCTTTTTTTAGGAAGTTATTCGGAAGTGAAATTGTAGTATTATAGAATATATCTAATTTGGCTTAAATAATATTAACATTAACAAGTAAGAGTGTTATATTCGACTATGCCGAATCTTATATACCCACCATAAAACCGTATGCCGTAAATGGCATGCTGGTTGATTGATATTTAAAATAGGTTTAAAGTCAATTATGGACACATCCCTTTCGGATTAACAAAATATTAATATTCAAATATAAAATATTTTTGTCCAACTTTTAGACCATGAACATACACATATGGGCGGTAGGGTCAATTATTAAATTCGGTAGAAGATTTTGGCTTGCAAGAAACTTACTTCTGTGTATCGAATTTCAGCGCTATACTCTTATTTTCAAGCCAGTAGTGAGCGTTAAAGTCATTTTCTGAGGGGGACCCTATATGGGGGGTGGGTTAAGTTATGGACCGATCCTCATAAAATTCGGTAAATAGATTTTTGCTCGTAAGAAACTTGCTTATATTGAATTTCTGCGCTAGGCTCGTATTTTTAAGCCAGTAATGGGCGTTAAAGTCATTTTTTGGAGGGGACCATATATGAGGGGTAGGGTCAATTATGGACCGATTCTCTTAAAAATTTGGTAGGGAGGATTTTGCTCATATAAAACTTATTTATGTTGAATTTCATCGCTATACTCGCATTTTTAAAACATTTGTGACTGTTAAATAAATTTTCAATACCATACAAACCTTACCTATAAGAAATATTACCTATAAGAAATATAGCTCATTCCGTTCGGACTCTATCGTGCTTTCAACAGACAGACGGACGGACAGACATAGCTAGGATCGTCTTAGAATTTAATAAGGACCCAGAATATATATACTTTTATGTTAGGACTTAGTACTTATCAATTATTAAGAAACGTAACAATACTATCTTACAAGAAATTCGTAAAATGGAGTAACAACTACATGGAATAATGCTGAGTTTCTTAGCAGCAAGAATCTGTATAATCGAGAATGCTTCTTGGATTTAATACACATCAATGATGCTCGAGGTTACATGCATAGTGGTTATAACACACTGTAACAATTTTGAAAAAAATCTTTCTGACTTAGAAAAGTTGATATGTATGTGAAACTAGAGTCCATTTATAGCAATTCTGCATACTCTTTTATAATCTTACCCTTATAAAAGAACTTCAGAGGAGAGATTTTCAGCTTCATTTGATATTAATACCAATTTTTTTATATATATTAATTTGGAATTCCATCTTGTGAAATCGTATGAGCTTTAAACTTTAAGGTCTTTTTACAGGGGCATAAGAACTGATTATGAAAAACTGAGTATACAGAGTTAATACAAATGGTCCACAGTTTCCTATCTTTTTTTATTATAATAAAATTTTATTATTTTGACCTGACCTGGTTTCCCAGTGTGGGAAACTTTTATTGAGAAACTTTTTCTTAATTCTCTTTTTAAGTTTCTTTAATGTCTACACAAAGAAACTTTTGTTTCAAAAACAAAGTATTAATTGCATTGATTTGTTTTTGTACGAATGAGAAGAATAACAAAACAATTTTCCGAGTACGATAAACTCCGTACCGCGAGGGAGATGAATGATATTTCTTTCTCTTTTCCTCTCACGCAAAATCAAAAGTTTCACTTGAAAATTTGAAGTTGTTTCATTCTGAAAAAGGTTTTTTTTTTCTTTTTTGAAGAAGAAAAATAGGAATAATTCTTTCACTTTCCATCGGAATTGAATTCTGTGACATACCATTTGTAAATTTCATAATAACTTAATAAAAGCGTTGAGCTCAACGTTACTTGTAAAATGTTTTTGTTTTCATAAAATGTATAGGGGACTCATGGCTTTTATTTACTGACATGTATAGGTGGTTTTCTTAAAATATTTTATTCAAATGCTTGACTTGTGTTTTTGGTTTTCTTTTTAGATATTAATTAAATTTTTAAGATGTTTAAAAAATAACTTTGAACTTTTCTTCTCCATTGCCGCTATATCAATACATTGTTTACATTTGTTAGCAAAATTAATTTATCAGGCATGATTTTTCTAGATTTCGAAAATAATAAAAAATAGATTTACATATGTACATATTTATTTCTGCAGTCAATGAATAACACCAAGATATAAATATAAACAAACAAATAATTTTCCCACGCGCTCTCAAGAAAATCTTTCGTACAGTTCAAAAATACAACTAAATACATACTAATAATATGACGTTCTTCTAAAATTAGAATATGAAAAATACATACATTCATACAGACGTACGCCAAATATTTTTTTATTTTTTTTGTTTATGTTTGATTCAAAATTTAATTTTTTGAATTCGTAATAGTAATAGGGTACTCACTAATTTTGGTATTTTGAAATTTCCAAAATGACTTTTCATTGTTAAATTCCGATTTTGGTTTATTTATTGTGGGAGATGTACATACATATGTACATATCTCGAATTCATATATTTATGTATGTATTTACAAGGTATTTTAAACGGAAATAAAAAAATATTTTACATTATTGTAAATGTTATATTTCGAGAAATATACATATGTATTTTTTAAAAGAAAAAATAATTTTTTTCATATTTAGAATTTCACTAAAGTCTACAAACAATGGATTTAAATGTTTAATAACAAATACGAACTTTTTTTGGATAACTATATCGATATGTTTGCCCATTAATCTCCTAAAAGGGATAACTGACCACGGATGCATTCTGTGGACTTGTAGCTTCAAATATTTACTCTTGTAAATGTTGAAAGTATTGACATCTGGAAATTCAGGAGAGTGTTTTAGCATTGATCTAACAATATAAGTATATATGTATGTATATTATTACCTTAGCATCAGAAAAATATGTTAAATGTTATTGACAAAATTTAGAGGAAAAAAACATAAACATGGAGTGAACGGTGGGCAAATGTAATAAAAATTAATATTCAAACAAGTATTCGATTTTGGAAATGAAAATTAAATTCAGTCATTTTGATTCCAGTATTTCCTCTAACGCTTCTAGGTTTAGTAAAAAAGATTTTTTAAATAATTTATCAATCAATTGCTTTAGTTATATTAAATTTTTGGACACCCTAATTTTATATGAACGTATATACAATACTATATATCAGTCAGTGTGTTAATAGAATGATGATTATGAGGATGATGATGAAATAAAGAACGGGCAAAAATTTTCTAATATAAAAACTGTTGGAAAATTAAAAATCCGTATTAATAATAAAATAATATCGGACGTGAGAACATCTCAGGTGAAAGTTTATATATACAAATAGATAATCAAGGTGCGAATACGATATAGAAGTGAATCAGTTTCTAAATTAAGAAATACATTTTATAAGAAATTAAATTAAATTTGGCAATATTTTATCAAAGTTTAAGAAAATTATAATTAAATAATTAAAATCCGAATAAAATATCGGTTAATGTGATAATTATAAGAAGTTATTATATTTATAATTTGTTTGGACAATAATTAGTTGTTTATAATATACATATTTTTCAACATTTGGTGGTGATTTAAATTAATTACCATTAGTGTTCTATTTTTATCTTTGTATAACGTAGATGTCAGTAGTACCTTTAATGTTCCGTGACTGGTGGGATGAACTTGAATTTCCAACACGCACATCGCGTCTCTTGGACCAGCATTTCGGTACCGGATTAAGGTAAGTTACAATACAATACTTTTTGTCTTATTTACAAATGTAAATACATTTAATTTTTTTATTAGACGTGATGACTTGTTGTCATCCGTATGGAACTCTCGGCCAACAATGTTGCGCTCTGGCTATTTACGTCCTTGGCAGCGTACCACAGGCTTGCAAAAACAAGATTCTGGATCTACTTTAAATATTAATGAAGAAAAATTTGAAGTTATTTTGGATGTTCAACAGTTCACACCCAACGAAATCAGTGTCAAGGTCACCGACAAATTTGTCATTGTAGAGGCCAAGCATGAAGAAAAGCAAGATGAACATGGCTTTGTATCCAGGCAATTTACTAGACGTTATCTATTACCAAGTAAGTTCTCATTACAATTTTCCATTAATACCTATTAACGTATTATTTATATTCTTTAGATGACGTCAATCCCGACAGTGTTACTTCATCCCTGTCTTCAGATGGACTCTTAACAGTAACTGCTCCCATGAAGAAGTTACCTCCACCAAATACAGAACGCGTGGTCCCCATCTCTAAGACTGGTCCATCATCCCAAGAAGACAAAGAGAGAAAAGTTGAAACGACAACAGCCTAATCTATTAAAAAAACAAAAAATTTCAATTACAATGATTTTTAACAGACTGCTTTTATACAAACAAACGTACATGCATACTTGTCATATTTGCCTATGAACCTATTATTTATTTTTTAGATATCTATTTATAATAATTTTATAACACCATTGTGTGCCATTTTATGTAACGATATTTTTTTATTTAATGCTTTGAGTATTTTTGATTTTTTATACTAAAATAAAAATTATTACAAAAATTTGTAATTTATTTTTTTTTTGCACCCGACAGACAGGACAACATTTTTTCAAATCCGATTATTAGTACACACGTTATTTAAGAATTTGAAAAATGTTATAAAATATTTAAATCTCGAAACGACGTTTTTGGAACAATGTCAGTAGTAAAAAAGTGGTATTTTATTTATTTATTTATTTGGTGAATACAATACAACAAGATCAAGTCTTATATTAAAGTATTGGGTAGGAGAAGGCATACATATTTAGATATGTTACTACAAAAACAGTAAGATTACATACATATATATCATTAAATGTTCTAACAATACAGAGTAAAATTAGCTATAAAAAGAAAAAATGGCATTTTTAAATTGTCTTGCATTGCATATAGTCTGAATATGAGGGGGTAATTGACTCCAAAGGCGAATTGAATTTATGAAGAAATGTTGTTCAGAGAATGTTTTTTTATGTTTGATCATATTAATTTTTTTACCTCTGTTAGATCTTGAAAATATGATCTTTTCAAACAAGTATTTGAGTTGACCAGTGCAAATAATCTTATGTAAGATCTTGAAAATATGATCTTTTCAAACAAGTATTTGGGTTGACCAGTGCAAATAATCTTATGTAAAAACTGGAGAGTTCGGCACTTTAATAAGTTTTCAAAAGTGGTGTTATAAATTAGTTTTGAATACTGAGAGATATTGCTATATTGTTTGATGCCATAAACATACCTTGCTATATTATTATATGTCACATTAAGTCTTCGTTTGCTCAATGAATCGCAGCTGGAGAAGAGTTCACAAGCATACATTAGAGTAGGTAATAAATATGTTTTCGCAAGTAGTAACCGAATATGAACAGGTGTAAAGTGTTGTGATTTCCAAAGATTTCGTAACATTGCATAAGTTTTACCACAAGCAACTTTCACATGGTCAGACCAATCGAGTTTCCTATTGAATATTACACCTAAGTTTTTGGCAGAATCCACAAAGTCTATTTTCGATCCATTTATCATAATAGCAGGTACACTGGCTGGTATGTGTTTTGTCTGGCCAATTATCATAGCCATAGATTTTTTTGGATTCAAACTGAGACCATTAGCAGAAGCCCATACGGAAATTTTCTGTAGATCTTCATTAATTTTCTGAATACAGTTTGGTATATCAGATATTTTAGAACCGATGTACAGTTGCACATCATCGGCATACATTTGTATTCGACAGTGTTTAATCTGCAGTGGGAGATCATTTGCATATACGGTGAACAATAAAGGACCAAGTATTGAGCCCTGTGGTACTCCCCTAGTCATTACACTAGGACTGGAGATGTTAGTGCCATGATAAACTGATTGACTTCTATTACTGAGGTATGAGGATATAAGTTTTATTGCAGTTGATGAAAAATTAAAAAAATTTTGAAGTTTTAGGGAAAGAACCTTGTGGTGTACGGTGTCAAATGCCTTTGAATGGTCAAGAAGAATTAGAAGTGATACATTTTGTTTATCTATCTGAGATCGCAGGTCTTCAGAAACATCAAGTAGCGTAGATATACAGCTATGTCCTGATCTAAATCCCGATTGTCTATCTGTGACCAAGGAATACGTATGTATATAACTACTCATTTGATTATGGATGCATTTCTCAAATACTTTGGACATAAAAGGCAAAATTGCAATTGGCCTATAAGTCTTATCAGCTTTTGGCACTGGAATAATTTTAGCATGTTTCCATATTAATGGGTATGTGGATGTTGTTACAATTGTATTGAAAATGTGTGTTATGTATGAAAGTGTATGAGTTAGGGTAAGTTTAAGAAACTTAGGATGAATTCCATCGTTTCCGATTGAATTTGATTTTATAGATAACAGCGAGCTTAGAACATTATCCTGAGTAAAGTGTACAAAATTAAAACAATGTGAATGGCGAGAATCTAAGTCAATATGTCTAATAGAGTCATTATAGAAATTAATGTTGGTTTGTGGCATTATTATATTGGAGAATTTTTGGTTTAATTCATTCACATCCATGGGATTGACATCATTAGTGTCACTATTAGTTATACCCATAGCTCGGATCACTTTCCATTTACTTTTAGAATCAATAGCTGTTTTAAATTTGTTTTGATAATAAAGTGATTTTGTCATTCTTATTTTTGAATTTACAAGTCTTAAATAAGCTATATAACTCCGGTGTCCTAAAGCGTTTCCATCTTTTGTATGCTTGATTCCTTTCTTCAATTAATGTTTTAATTTCTGTCGTGAACCAAGGTTTCTCGCTACGTATTATCCTTGTTTTTAAGGGTATGTATTTATTGTATAGATAGATTATATGACTATTAAAAGCATTAAGTTGTTCATAACAAAAAAAAAAAAAAAAAACCTTGGATTAAAATGATGCAGGGAATGACAAACTTATATGGTGGATGGTACAACAATAATAAAGAAATGCATAGGTGTCCGATTAATAAATTGAGCCACTGTATGCATATTATTAATGGATATTTTTTATTAACATAAAATAATACTATTTAAAACATCTCTTAATTGCTATTAACAGTGGTACTTTGAATATTGTGTGAAATCATCAATAGATAAATTGTATTCTCTTAAGTTTTCATCATTCCATTCATCAAAGTCCTGTATAACATTGGGTGCCAGTTCATCTTTATGGCTGCCGACAATACCTCTTCGAACAAACCTAAATTCATCGACTTTTCGACCGGCAGCAGCCTTCATACTTTCGAATTCTTTAATGTGATTGCAGGCTGGATTATTTTTCATGTTATCGAATGATAAGTGTTCGACTAACGAAGAAAGTTGATCAGGTGTAATTTCCTTATCTAAGAACTGACAAACTTCTTTAATGACTGAAGATAAATTACACTTCATTCGTTCGTAGCTCGTAAACAAGACTTGTGAACTGCTTCGCATTTGCCAAAAGTCCAAAACATGGGGCCAAAATGGATTAAAATTAACATGACCATCCATGTATGATTGGACAAAATCTTCTTTGGATCCCTTGTAACCAACCATGCCGCGCCAATGATGGAAATATGAGACTGCAGCATCCTTTGGATTGCGAAATACGTAAATAATCTAAATGTAAAAAAACTTCGATATTTGCAATAACATGTTATTAAATATAAATAATTAAGTTTACCTTCGGTTTCTTAGTCCAAATTTGTTGCGGTAAAAGCATTGCGGGTAGATGAGACTTTAGTAGACGAGGTGATTTTAAATTATTTGCTTCTTCGATCGTATCGTGCGGTACATTTGGTACAACGCCGTTAAATCTAGTTGAAAAGTAATATTTATATGTTCATTAAGACATTTTCAAAATTCAGGAGTTAGCTCAGCAAAATAAGGGTTCTGCTGCGGAATTTTAGATAGCTATGTAAATGATAATTAGCTTAAACCTTCTACTTAACATGATATTTTTAAATCTTTATAATTATAAAACAGATATAGATTATGTCATAGTTTTCTTCGTCTAATGTTAACTAAAAAAACAATTACTTTTAGAAACGCTCTTTGACACACAAAAATGTAAAATGTCCGTCTATCCAAAATGACCAAACTGGTCGTAATTATGAATATTATTTAAAAACAATTACTGAGCATTATCTGCACTGTCACTGAATTACATATTTCTATAAAATTTCAGTCAGCCCCAATATACATATGTATTCATATGTATATAAGCTTCTATTTGTTTCCAATACCCGAATTGACGTAATAGTTTTCTGAAGGGGTCTTTGTATGAGGGCTAAGTCAAATAATACTTGATCATTTCAAAATTTGTCAGTATCATTTAGGACCATATAGAACTTAGTTGTGTCAATATTTATATTCAACATACGTAATTATGATCTCGGTATAGGCTAGGCTACCTTAAATAATTTAATTGTCTGTTTATGTCTGAATTACTTGCTGTTTATAACAGTTTCTTAAATACTTTTATGTATTTATTCAGTATAATGGAATAAATATAAAAAAAAATATTTTTTGATGAAATGCTTACTCTAAAAATGGCGATCGTATTGTTAAATCAATACTTTTTGCCTTTTCGAAATCAAAATTATTCATTATGAGCCATGTCATCTCTTGAGCCCATGTTGTTCCACACTTTGTACTGGTCACTATAAAAACATCGTCTTCACGAACATCAAAATTGTAGACTCGATCGAGAACAGGTTTAAAGGTGTCTGCTAACGAACAATAACGTTTCCTCCAGTCTCCAACTACGGGCACAGATGGTTCAGAAGTGGGAAAAAATGCAGAGTATCCACCTGATATTGCCAGCTTATCGATTTCCTTAAAAGGAATACTTTCTGCTTGAAAACTACAATGCGGCATCTAAAAAGTATTTGTTACAATTACAATTACAAAAAAAAAATATTATTTATTAAAATTATATAAACTAGAAAATATATGAAGTTGTTCTGTTCTATTCTTAATAATCCAAAAATCCCTTACAAAGCCGTTTACTCAATCCCAGCAAAACCTTATATTGAAAAGTAAGGGGTTAAAATGCTAAAATTTACTTACACAATAGCATTTTAAATCGTTATTTTAAAACGGGGATGATATTGGAGGCAAATTCTTACCACGCTCGCTTACGAATAGGGTGTTAGGTAAGTACTTACTACGATTGCCGGCAAGTACGGAGTTAGGTAAGTAGTTTTGTTTCTGAGAAAAAAAATTGTCTACGAGGTTACGTACACTGCTTTTACTATTAGTTTTCACAAAAAATGTATCGTTTGTGTTAAAAACAAAGTTCGAAAACATTACAAGGATAAAAAGTAAGTATGTTATATATAAGTCATTACTAGACTCCTTCTAAGTAATGTAGACGGTATGTATCAGCCATTAAAAAGTAAGCTGTTAAGAATAAGACTTTACTGTTTTTATTATAATCCCACAATTGTATTTTTTCTTACTATGTACATTATTAATTTAATTTTTAATTTAAATTTACATTTGGAAAATAAGAATATTTGAGGGCCAATTATACGATTCGCAATATTACTTTAGATTTCTTAAATAAAATAAAATGAAATAATCTGAAATTGGCACTGCTCTAAGTTCTACGTGCTAGAAATATTTTAAAACCTCAACTCGATGCAGAAGCACTTAATATGTATATCATAATTAGCCATACAAATTCAAAGGGGGAAAACAATATTTTTGGCAGACTTATATCTAATTAAAATTATGTTCTGAAATAACTGCCGTATTCAGTATCCCGGACGGAAATTTTATTTTCAAATTTTGTATGAAAAGTACTCAAAAAATATTTAGGGTTAGGTTAGGTTGATACATCAAATCCGAAGACATACAATAGGCCATCAAAAAAAATGTTTGTTGAAAAAGAAACATATGTCCAATTCACAATCGATGTCGTATTGTTGTAGCGTTGTACGTGTTAAAAATTTGTAAAATAAATTTTTTTGAAACAAAAAGAAATCAATAATATACAAATTACGACAAACCAAAATACAACCGTACAACACTGAATTTGAATTGGGCACTATAGTTCACTGAATGTATTATCTTTCAATGTTCAGAAACTCAGTTTCCTGGACGTATTTCCTAAGAATTTTCCAATCAGTGTTCGTGAAGAATATTATATGCGGAAAATATCACTCCCAGCTGTCCTCTTCGCATGATCTACATTCGTCTGGATCCGCAGGTAATCTTATGTGTCCGCTCAGAATACGTACTATCATACTAACCTCAGACTTGCACATTTGTAGGAGATTTCTTGTCTTGCTCTCATTAGGGTGATCTCATAGGATCTTTGTGATTCCACCCATTGTCTCGTTATTCCAAGAGGACTTGTTGGATTCTCTCACCCATATTTTTAATTCAGCCTTCGTTGCTGATCCCTTTAAGGTCAATACATTCTCTCTTTCGTTGCCGACTACTGCCGAGTGGCCTGTTACCCATATGATGTAAACCTTATCTCTGGGAGAGTATTCAATTAAAGCTTTCTTACAATCCAATACGGTCTTAGATTTAACATTAACACCTAATAACGCTCATTCTATCTGTGATCGAAAATTTCCGTTCGAGATACTGAATACAATTAATTTATTCAAGACACAATTGGTCCCTAAAAACCAAATTCCAAACAACAAAGATTGATACATTTCTTCCAATTGTAATAATTTTTTTCTATGCTAACTCTCTAAATTAGAAACATTTATTTTTTGTTTCGAAATTGTGAAATTGTGTTTTTAGTACACAAAATTCAAAAATAAATTTAAAAAATATAATTTACAAAAAAATAAAATATACGAAAATAAAAATAATGAAATATTAAATATGCTACTAAAATTAAATCAAGCAAAATTGTGTTCTTATGGGTAAAATATGTAAATATATGCATTAACAAATCGATGTAAAAATTCTTAAATTGTTAAATCAAAAGCAATAATTTGCATATTTTGGTCATCACTTATTTATGTATATTTTTACGATTGTTATAGTTAGTAAGCCATTGTACTACACACTTTTTCCATATAAAAACAGGTTTTAACACATAATATTTGAAGAAAATTATGTGACAATTTAAAATCAATAGTCCAATTTTCATTCAAGGTATATTTTCCAATAAAAATTGTATAATTGGGAAGTAATCACATTAGAATAACTTTATTATATGACTCAACAGTGTTTGTCGTCACAAAAATCATGTAAAATCCACTTAACATTTTTTAAATTAATGGTGAACTATTCTACTAATGTGAATTTTATTAATGTGAAAACCTTCACCTTTTTAAGTTTTATTTATTGAAGGTTTAACAATAATTTGAAGAAAGCAGTGACACTTTTGGTGTTCCTATTATTTTTGCCAACAATGTATACAAATAATAAATTCGAAATGATCATTATGTAATAATTGATAATAAGAAAAGCAACTTTCTTCATTCACAATACAATTTGTTTTGTTTGTTTATTTATTTCTGTTGTTATATATGTACATACGTATATACATATGTAGGTACATACATATATTTTTTTATTATTAATTTCGAATTTCTTGTTTTTCTTTTTTAGTGGGTCAAATCTGCATTGGTTTATGTTTGTATACAAATTTTTATTGTTGTATAAATATAAGGGACAGCTTTCTCTTAAATGTTATTTTTTAAACTGCTTTGATTTCAAGCTTTTTTCTTTCATATTTATTGTTTTGTAATTTCTTAAACATTTAAAATTATTGTTTCAATAATCAATATAAACCAGTAGAAACAGTTTACTTTAGAGGTAGAAATTTTATAAAATCAAATCTGCATTATTCATAACATACATACATATGTATGTACATTAGAGGTTTCAAAAAATATCGATTTTGCTCAGATGGGTCTTACTTTGTTCATTAGTGTCTAAAACTAACTGGTATACAATTTTAGCCAAATCGAATAACGGGAACCCGTGCCGGAAATCGATCGAAAAGTGTAAAACTTGGTAAATAATAAAACTTTTTATAAAATTCTTCAAAAATAGTGCCATTATAATTATATATATTCTTAAAATTTCGACTACATCTTATCTTCTAAAGAAAATTATCTTTTCAACATGGTATAAAGTATTTATATGGAGCGACAAATAACAAAGTTGAGGGCATTTTCTTTTCACAAATATGTGGCAAAAACGACTAAATAATTCTTATTTTACACGTTTTTTTGTGTAAATATTTTTGTTTACATGTCTTCTTCATGCTAAAAGAACAAAGAGACCAAACAATACAAAAAATGCATGAAAAATGGCTTGTGGAATTTTCAATAACTTTAATATTTGTCCTATGATATAAATGTTTTATACCTTGTTGGATAGATAATTTTCTCTATATGATTTAGACGAAATGTTAACAAAAGTTAATTTTAATAATTTAAAGAAACCAAAAAATTCCAATTATCTACCCAATTTTACTCTTTTCAATCGATTTCCGGCACGGGTTCCCTTTATCCGATTGGACTAAAATTTAACACCAGTTAGTTTTAGACACTAATAAACAAAATAAGACCCATCTCAGAAAAATGTACATATTTAGAATTTAATGAACATTTTAATACTACTTATTAAACTTACATTTCTATTGTGATAACCAGATTTACGTCAATAGTTCAATGAGAAATATGTATAAAATCAAACTAATTCAAACAATACAAAAAAAAAAAATACTTCTTTAACTCTTTACACTTTGACTGCTGTCCACTGAATAATCATTGTCGATCCCATTAAACGTTATCTTGCCGAATTTATTTAGTACGCACTGATTTTAGGTTCAAATCAATAGAGTACATTTAAATGAGTATTTTTGAGAGTTATGTTGGCGTGTGTGTGTGTGTGTAACTCAGTCAACTTAACACAGCGCCATGTACGGTAAGAAAATGGAATGAAGAGGCCATGCGAAAGGCCTTATACAAAAGTACCCAGTCATGTTACAAACTCATTTTCATTATACCCTACACCACTATAGTGGGAAGGGTACTATGCGTTTGTGCTGATGTTTGTAACGCATTAAAATATTGGTACTATACCCACCTTAAAGTATACCGATCGACTCAGAATCACTTTCTGAGTCGATTTAACGATGTACGTCCGTCCGTGTGTCCATGTAAACGTTGTTATCAAAGTACAGGTCGCAATTTTCAAGATAATTTGGTGAAATTTGGAATACACACGATGCCTATTGAAAATGGTTAAAATCGGTCCATTATTTCACCTAGCCCCATACAACTGAACCCCCCGAAAAGGGCTTTTGAGCTCATAATTATGTATAATATAAATGTATCTCGATAAAAGTTCGCACAAGTAAGTTTTATACAAGCCTTGATGACCTTGCCGAATTTCGAAATTATCGGACTTCATTTGACCCTAGCCTCCATACAAAGCCATTCATTCCATTCAAGACCCCCCAGATGAAAGTCCGCTTTTTCCCTCCAAAATGTTCAGATGAATATTTAAGTTCTTCGCGCGAAATTTGAAGAATTTAGTTCCATTATTTTTCCAGATAAACGAATTTTTGTCTTTAATTAATATGAGAGGTGCCGCTCCCCTCATGGGTAGTCCGCCAATTTATTACCCAAAATGTTTAGATGGATGTTAAAGTTTTTCGTGCAAAATTTGAAGATTCTAACTGTAATAGTTTCCAAGATAAACGTATTTTTGTATTTAATTTATATGGGAGGTGCACGCCCCTAATGATAGTCCTCCTACTTTTTGTTCTAAATAATTATATTGACACTAAAGTTGCTCTGACAAAATTTGAGGACTCTAACTGTTATATTATCTAAAATATACGGATTTAATATTTTATTAATATAGGCGTGGCTCCTCGCCCACTTGGAATTTCAAAATAAAAAGTAGCCTATTGCCTATTCCAGACATACAGGAATACGCTGTGAAAATTTGAATAAAATCGGTTCAGCCGTTTAGTAGTCTATAGCGTTCAAACATACAAACAAACACACATTCATTTGTATATATATAGATAAGAATATACAATTTTTTGTAATTACTTCACGAGAGAGGCACCAAAATTGGGGACTCTAGCTGCTATAGTTTTCTAGATATACAGATTTTAATAATTAGATTTTAGTATTTATTTCATATGGGAGGTGCCACGCCCGCTTTTGCTGAACTCCCTATTTTTGTCCAAAATATTTGTATTTAAACAAAAGTTACTTGTACAAAATTTGGGGACTCTATACGTGGGACCTCGCTCATTTGAAATTTCAAAATAAAAAGCAGTTATAACTCCTTCCAGACATACAGGAAGATATTGTGAAAATTTCAAGAAAATCAGTTTAGCCGTTTAAACTGATTAAATAAAAAACCCACTTAACGATTTTGAAAATTCTAACTACAATAGTTTTCCAGATTAACAATATGTTACATATGAGAGATGCCAAGCAAATTATTGGAAGTTCGCCAATTTCTATCTATCTATGAAAAATTTGTATTTAATTAATATATGTTGTGTCAAGCGCCCATTGAAAGTCCGCCCGTTATTCTCTAAATGTTTTCACATGAATGTCAAAGTTCTTCATGTAAAATTTGAAGATTCTAGCTCTAATAGTTTCTCAGATATACGAATTTAATTCATGTGGGGGCTTCATGCTCTCCGGATGAAAGTCCGCCCTTTTTCCTCCAAAATATTCAGATGAATATTAACCCTTTCAGGGTCAAAAATAATTTATGTCTAGAAAAAAACTTGAAAACTTATATTTAAGATAATTTGAGTATGCTGAATCCGGGAAAAATAATATTTTTTGAATTTGAGTTTTCCCTAGTGATTTATATAAAAGGTCAAAGTTAAATGTCGAAAATATTCGACATTCGAAAAACAGTCTCCAAAAAGTACCACCAATATTTTTTATGAATTTTTTTTGGAAAATGTCTTCTTAAACTTCTTTCAATACAATACAATTTAAATCTGCATAGTCCGATCTCTTAAAATACATTTTTTTTGGCCATTAAATGAAGCTGTTTTTTAAACGTTGTTAAAAAGCACTTTTTAAAAAGTAGTCATAAGTGACAATTTCTTAAAATCTGATTTTTAAATACTTTTAAAATACGGAAGATCTTTCAAAATCTCAATTATAAATATAATAAAGTCTTCATTTTCATCTAAAAGAAAAAAAAATAAAACTAAAGTTAAATATTATACCCAAAAAATGCTTAAAAACAGAGTCTATTGTAATGTCGAATATATTCGACAAAACCACCATTGTAATGTCGAATATATTCGACAAAACCACGGAAAGGGTTAAAATAATTTGTGCAAAATTTGAAGAATCTAGTTCTATTAGTTTCCCAGTTAAAAGAAATTTTGTATTTAATTCATAAGGGAGGTATCAAGTACCCCATTGGAAGTCCGCCCGTTATACTCTAAATGTTCAGATGAATGTCAAAGTTCTTCAAGTAAAATTTAAAGATTCTAGCTCTAATAGTTTCTCAGATATACGAATTTTTCTATTTTATTCATATGGGGGCTCCAAGCCCCCCAGATGAAAGTCCGCTCTTTTTTCCTTAAAAATGTTCAGATGAATATTAAAGTTCTTCGTGCAAAATTTTAAGAATTTAGTTCTATTAGTTTCCCAGGCGTGGCTCATCGCCCACTTGAAATTTCGAAATAAGCCTATTACCTATTCCAGACATGCAGGAATACGCTGTGAAAATTTCAAAAAAATCGGTTTAGCCGTTTAGTAGTCTGTAACGTTCAAACATACAAACAAACACACATTCATTTTTATATATATAGATATTATGTCATTAGATTTCATGAGACCAATGATTTTTTAAATATTCTTCAAAACAATTCCGACAATCATTGGATTGTCAACGAAAGAAACAAGCCGTGATTTTCAAGATACATATTTTGATGTAATTTTAACCATACAAGTTTATCGGCCCTATTGAAAATGGCTAAAATTGGTCCATTATTTCACCTAGCCCCCATATAGCCTAACATTCCGATTTGCGATATTTGGCTCATAACTACGACTAGTATCTCTTAAGAAATCGGCAAAACTATGTTTTATGCATAAATAACACTGCCTATTTTTGTAATAATCGACCGTCAATCTTTCAGCATACTCAAATTATCCTAAATTGTATCTATATGTATGTATTCTGGTATCTAGCCGACATAAAGTGGATTTAGACCACATAAGAGGGTTTTCATACATCTGAAAAATAAAATGAAATTCCATCCGTATTTTAAAAAAATTTATATTTTTTTCGTTTACACTACTGGTATAAGACAATAACAAAGTAGAATAAAAATATAAAAATACATCCCTGATCTAATTGAAACTTGCTTGTTTTTTGATTAATTTAAAAAAAAAGAAAAGAGCCATACGATTGTGAATTTTTTCATTTGTATTTTCTCTCAGTGTGTGACGGTTTTATTACATATTGCAATTCATAAACATTAAAGTTCTACTCGGATCCACCATTCAGAAAAGTAGTATCACTTCACAGGTATTTATTTTTCTTGCTTAGTGCTATTTATGTATGTTTCTGATTCTGATAAAATTAGAAATTGCACAAATAAAAATTTCTTGGCAAAACTATTAAATACGACTAAGTATTTAGAATTTTAAAAGTCATGTGGCCAAATTTATTCCGGTTCTTAGTTTAAATAGGGATATTTCATATGGTAATACTAGGGAATTTTTTAATCACTGGATTTATTTTATTTCAAGAAAAAAACTATCTTTGGAGGCGGAAATTTAGTTTTGGATTTAATAAATTCAATTGTTTGAAAAATCCTTCTAATATAAGTATACATTAGCAGCATTTTTTAAACAATTGGATTTATTAAATCCAAATTTTAGTTCTTGCACCGTACGCCAGGTGGATAAGGCAGAAGGTTTAATCGAGGCTAAACAATTTGTAAATCATAATGTCAGCAGCGTCCAACAGATGAAGTTATTTCAAAATTTAATATGAAAATTATAAATTTTCCATCAAATTTTTAACAATTTGTTGCAAAAATTGGTATTTGCACTGAAATATCAAGAAAAATTTAAATTAGTACTTAGTATTTCCTTATACTGGTGTAGATTTTACGTAAGTCTTGATTAAATAACTTAACACAAGATCGGGTAAAAATGGGTTTCGAAAAATAAAAACTAAATAGAATAAAATACAAGTTAGAGTGCTATATTCGGCTGAGCCTAATCTTTAATACCCTCCACCAAGATTTAAACAGCTTAAATCTGTTACATTCCAAGATTTATTGAACATTACAAACCCCATTTTCTTTTATATTTTTATAGCGCATGTGCATGTATGTATGTGTGTGAAAGATTTAAGGATTTTCAAAATACATATATATATAATTTTGTTCTACACAAATTGATAATGCAACTAGTTAAATACGGTTAAATTGCTTTTAGGGGCATGACCTAGTATGGGAGATATGACAAATTATAGACCGATCGTAAAAAATTCTTTAAGCAAAATTTCTGTACATTAAAGCTATATTTCAGTCAAATTTTGTATCTATATCGTAATTTAGTAATAAGTAATATGTGTTCAAGTGATTTTACCATGTTATGTACCGATCGTGCAAAAATCTTGAAACAGAATTTTTGTATACCAAACTAATATTTGTGCCAAATTTTGTATCAATAGCTTTATTTGGTAATGAGTAATGTGCGTTTAAGAGATTTTCGTATGGGAGCTATGACCAATTATGTATATAAAGACAAAATTTCAAAATTCTGTATCAATATCATTATTTTGCAATGAATATTGTGCATTTAAGTGATTTTCGTGAGGGAACCTTGTATGGCAGCTATGACCAAAGATGAACCGATCGTGAAAAAGTTTTGAAATAACATTTCTGTGTACAAAAATAGTATGTATGCCAAATTTTTTATGGATATCACTATTTGGTATTGAGTTATGTGCCTTTAAGTGTTTTTCTGAAAGGGACCTTGGATGGCAGCTATGATCAATTATGGACCGATAAGAAAACAATTTCACAGTAATATTTCTGTGTATATGAGCAATACTTGTATCAAACTTTATATGGATATTTTTATTTAGCAATGAGTTATGCACGTTTAAATGATTTTCGGGAGGGGACCTTGTATGGGAGCTATGACCAATTATGGACCGATCCAAAAAAACTTTCATAGTAATATTTCTGTATGTGTGAGCAATACTTGTACCAAATTTTATATGGATATCTTAATTAAGTAATGAGTTATGTACGTTTAAGTGATTTTCGGAGAGGACCCTGTATAGTAATATTTCTGTGCATATGAGCAATACTTGTACTAAATTTTATATGGATATCTTAATTTAGTAATGAGTTATGCGCGTTTAAGTGATTTTCGGGAAGGGGACCTTGTATGGGAGCTATGACCAATTACGGACCGATCCAGAAAATTTCCCATTTCCCAATGGATTCTATTGACATGTGATTTTAATTTGTAAAATTTTGTGAAGATATCAACATTCTGACGGAAGTTATTAACAAAAAACTCATTTTCTGGGAATATGTACTTTTGTATGGGGGGTATATGAAATTATGGACCGATTCTGGCAATTTTCAGCAGGAATCAAGATCTTACGTAGAAACGAATGTATGATGACTTTCATGAAATTATCTTGCATAGTTTTCGAGAAAATTACGTCAGAATGTGTGAAAAATGCTTATTTTTTTCGGAGTTGTTTTAAATTTTGATTCATAACTTTTCCCGATGTGAACCGATTTTGCTAATTTTCAATACCAAACTGTACCGGATAATAATGAATATTTTGGCTGAATTTCGTTAATTTCCATTGCTTCCTTTTAACGTGAGCGTGTTTTACACAGACAGACAGACGGACGGACATAGCTAAATCGACTCAAAATTTCATAAGGACCCAGAATATATATACTTTGTTGGGTCTCAGATGAATATTTCTTGGTGTTACACACGGAATGACAAACTTATATATACCCTCTATCACCACTGATGGTGGTGGAGGGTATAAAAAACACGCCTTTCCAAGACTTTAATATGATACCAAATTTGTACATTACAGTTTCTATGCAAAAAATATGAGGAAAATTATTAGAACCTCAAAAGGTTCTTTGATCCAACTCACTAACTATTGACACTTAGGACAACAATGTTGATAAATGGTATGATATTAATTTTCATTTTCAGTGTGAACATCAGCAACTTCCATTTTGCGGTCATCCTAATGTATGTAATTAAGTGCTCTATAAGAAATTACCTTCCCCATCAAATTCTGCTCTTACTTGACCTAAGAGAAGGATTGATTCATCACTATTTTAACATATTTTAATACATGTAGTAAGTAGTAAAAACGACTATTATTACAAGTTTAAGAAAAATGGTTATAGTTTTTATTTCTTTTGTTTTTATTGTAAAAGTTTGTTCCTTATTAAAATCTTGTTTTTAGAAAAGTTTTTAATTTATTTAACAATTTGTATAAGAATAGTTAGTTTTTTGTATTGTTTTTTTTTGGTTTTTGTTTTGTAAAAATATGATCTAATTTCTTATATTTTTTTTAGTTTTCTTAAGAGATTGTCATAAATGTATAATAACATTTATATTGTACATTGAAAATATAGCAAAATAGATACATAGATACATAAACAATTGTATATGAATGTATGTATGTATGTACATTAGAAGTACATACTCCTAAAAATAGTGTTCGATAGGGCACATCTAATGTACATACAAGTACTTTACATGTAACTATGTATGTGTGTGCGTATAAATATAAATTTAACAGAATTTTAACTATTTGTTGTTGTAATTTATAAAATAACAATTAATTTTTCTTCATGTTGTTTCACAGATACATAAATACATAAATATAATAGTAATATGTAATGTATTTGACTAAATTTATTTGAAACATTATAACAACTATGTATTTAATATTAAACGTATTTATTTATTAAGGCTTACATACAGACATACATACATGAATATAAAAGTGTGTGTGTAAGTTAACATTTGTGAAGTTTAAAGTTGAGTCCAGCCCAAAAGTGAAATAAAACATTAATATGTCGTTCTATTAAGATACAAACATATAACGTTAAACATTTCATGGATACAAATTTAATATTGATTTGCTATGTACATACATATGTACATTTAAATTTCTGCATATCTTTTATAAATTTATAGATTTTTTTTATTCTTAAATTATTTTCATTTTTAAGTTGTGATATTTGTAAATGATACGAATAGAGAACATTAACTTGATAAACATACAAACAACATTATTGGAGTTAATTCCTTAAGAGATGTGATGAATACTACTAAGTATATGAAAAGGAAATAATACAACATCCGATTGGAAAATGATATGACACATGGGGATATAAAGATTGGTAATAGTGGACGTTAGTGAGAAAAATAAGTAGCACAAGTCATCGTTAAAATGTAGAGAAAAGGTTTTTTCAAGATTTAAACATATAATAAACTAATGCCTTAAATTATTTATATTTTGTTTTTGAGCAGGTGTGACCTTTGCGACATCTTTTGTAGCTGATTTCGTTTAGCTGTAGATTGTTTTAATTAGAGAAAAATAGCTTTTACTCTTATGTTTGATACATCTGAATGAGTCCGAGGCGATTTATTTTTGAACATACTCTTCTATTTCATTTTCACCAATCGAAAATGCACATTGTAGTTGCAGCGGTTGAGGCTTAAGAAGTCCCGAGAAGAGTCTCTTAAAAGCCATGTGCTATTTCAGAGCAGACTTTTTATTCATAAGAGACATTTGCTTCGCCTTAACTTCGGCGAGCGTGTGAATACCCTGTTCTTCAAATTTCTTCCATTGGGAATAGTTGATTTGCATGTACGTAATTAATTCAGGCATATCGATGAAACCTTAAGTTAAGAAAAACTCAATTTATTATAATTCATTTCAGTTAATTTATCATCGGATACTTACTGTCCCATGCATGCATCATGTCCTGTATGATGTATTCGATGAAACCAATTTGACTTTTTGGTATACTGCAGGTGGCACGATCAAACATTGGCATGACGATTGGCAAATCTTTAGCCTTCTCTTCGTCTGTTTGCGTAAAGTATTCTTCGGCAATACGTCGCGCCCATTCTATACAGCAAATCATTGGTCTAGCTGGATTGCTAACATCGGCTACTTTGATAAGCATACGGCGCATTAGTATTGAACTTTCTTCTTCGGTTTGTACGATCTATAAAAGTTAATATAATATAAAGTTATCAACACTAAAAATTATATGATTTATTAATATTAAATGACATTCATATCTATACGATAGAATATACGGTAAAATGGGGTAAATACCCATGTATTTTGCAAAAAAGTATATGGGTATAAATTGAAATTTGACAAAGTCATTTCGAAATGGGCATGAGTAAAATTTTTTTAGAATTCAGTTTTTTATGTCATTAGCCATTAAAAATTTAATTTTTTATGAAAAAAGACACTTGTTTCCCGATACTCAATTCTGGATTTTGAGCTGTAAAAATATATTCTAGGAAAAATTAAGCAATATGACTACATAAATTGGTTGCACAATGGCTCTGAAGTATTTTAAATGGAAACTAAACTTTGGCTGATGTCTTCAGAAATCGGTACTACTAAGTTTTATATAAGTAATGATCGGCCCTCAATTGACCTTAGCTCCCATACAAACTACCCTTTAGAAAATTCCTTAAACGTCCATAATCGACTTATAACTATTAGTATAGAAATGAAATTTTATATAAAAAAATCAAATTTGCCTCTTTTAGAACATTCGTTTTTCATCCATAACTTGCTTAATACATAAGAATTAACCCATTAATGCCCACGGCGATCTACGTAAGGTAGAAATGTGAAATTTGGATATGACAGTTTACTTGTGTATAAACCGATATAAACCGATTTCAATTAAAAAATTTTTTCTATCTTGCCTTGTTTGGATTTTAGAAGACGTTACGTATACGTAACAGTGGGCATTACCCACGAATTTTTGTCCCTTAAGTATTTTAAGTAAAAGTTACATATTTTTACCAAAAAATCGTAAAAGAACTGGTTAATTATTAAGTTTTAAGCTTGGATTAGCTAATTTGGTATATCATACAAATTTTTTTCATATAAAATAAAAAATTATTTAAAAGTATAAAATTTTAATTTGTGGAATTTTGTAATTTTTGTAATGTCAATTAATGAATTTAAAGAAATTTGTATATTTTCTTGCAGCAACAGATATATTGACTAACGTTACACATTTTGCATACATTTACCAAAGGTCCTTGGCGCTTGTATCCTTGCAATTTCCCTAATAATCCAAGAAAATGGTCATAATTTTCAACCCATGTTTAATTTTTGGGGGATAATTGCAATTATATTCCGATTTTCTTGTAAAAATAAATATTTAATATTCGCCAACTGTGCCTTGAACAAGTTCTAATGCGGTCAAATGGCCTATACTTTACAGAAATTCTTAAAAATTTTAAAATATCCACGAAAGGACGATTTAATAGAAACATTTACATTAAAAATATATTGCTTGTCATCAAATATCAATATTTCAAGAAAATATATTGTTTTTTATTACGTTAAAAACCCATTCTTCTGATAAAAAACTATTTTTGAGGTAGATTTCATAAAAAAGTAAGCAAGTTGTTCATTATTTATATCGAATGTAGAGTGGGACAAAAAGTACTGAGAACTGCCCACTGTTACATATACGTAACACCTTTATTATCCTCTTTATAAGTCTCCGCAAGGACATGGTATATGTTTATAAACAATTAGGTAATAAACATTAATTACTTCTTTATAAGTTTACGTCAAAAACTTTTTTTAAAAACTAACTACATAGAAGTTATTAACATTCTAAGAATTCATTCCTCGAAAAATATGACTTTTTGCAGGTTTACGAAATAGGCACTTTACAAAATAACCCAAAAATACAATTCTATAGGCAAAAATTACTCAAATTCGATTTATAATCGTTAAGAATATGTTAAGTTAACCTATCCATCACAAAAAAGTAACTTTGCATTTTCCATTTCTGTGCATTTCGAGTCCAAATTCGAATTAATTTGCGTTACGTATATGTAACTGTGGGCATTAATGGGTTAAGGTAAAATTCAACATTAATGTTTTTTATAACAAATTAATAATTTTTAATAATTAATATAGTCAGCCATGCCCGACTATACTTTCCTGCTTGTTATTAAATATAGTCAACAAATAAATAATATTTTGATAATTTCTTACTTTCGGTGGCATATGTTTCAAAAAAAAAAAAAAATCGAAAAAATTATGAAAATTTAATTTTATAATTTTCAAATATTTTGCGCCAGGAAGTATGATTACGACCAACTAAAAGCATGTATAGTAACTCTAACCACGAGTTCAAATAAAAAATTTTATTCATTACTCATCCATGTACGAAAATTCGAGGCACACGCAAAGCGCTAATTGAAAATAATGAATGTGCGCCAAAATCAAATTAGTTTCCAAGTTTCACTAGCAGCAGCTTTAATTTTGTCATACAAAGTTACTAAATATATAAAATTTACGTTTCTAGTTAAGAAAATATTTAGCATTTCATATAAAATTATGTTAATTTTATTAGTGCCCCTATTATGGTTTACAACTCAACTTTGGAACAACTCAACTTTTTTTTGGTATTATGAATTACAACCAATTTCAGTGGTAATTGTGTTGATATTGCCAACCTAAAAAGTGCTTTTTTGTCATAAAATTAAGTGAAAAGTTTATGAATTTGTGTTTTTCGTAAATGACAAAAGTATTGAACATCTTTTTATTGCAAATTCGTTTGAAATCAGTGATTAATGAAATTAAAGAAAATTAAAAAAAAACTTTACTTCGTTTTATTTAAAAAATTTATTCTAAACAATTGAGTTGTAATTTATTACAACTGCTTTTGATAAGTTGTAATTTTTTCAAAAAAGTTGTAATAAATTTCAACTTGAAATTTTAAGTTGTTATCGATAATACAAAATAGCAAAATTTCAACTAAAGAAGAGTTGAATTGTAAAACATAATAGGGGCATAGGAATTTGATGTTTGAATGTAATTATATACTAAAACCGTTAAGATTTTTTCATTATTTTCTTTTGCAATATTGTGAAGAATAAGTGCGTAATTCCAAAATATTTTTATAAAAATTCTATCTCCAAATGTTATTACATAATGATGAGATGAGATTTTTACATAGATTTGTAGTCCTAGTTAAGTATTATCAATTTCATAAAGTTTAAATCGGACACCTTTGATTAATACAATTTTAAAGCAAAACAAATTATTTCGAGGAGGATATCCCAACATGGGACAATAATTTCAGAGTGATAAAATTATCAGCAGAGACTAAATTATCGATTGTCAAGTTCAGATTAAATTTGAATCTAACAAACAAAATGAAATTAAGGAAATACATATGTGGGAATTACATTTGGTCGAAAACAAAAATCCATCAGCAATTTTTTCAATGCGTCCATACTATGTTCAAAATTTAAAATGATAATTTTATATATTGAATTACATAGTTTTTTGTTCATTAAATAAAAAAATACTTGAAAAAATAATTCCGATATAACGAATTTTTCGATTTAACGAAAGGACCTGACATTACATCATTCGTTACACCGGGAGTTGCCTCTACACCGGGAGTTGCCTCTAGTAGTTATATCCCTAATGTAGATAAATATGTTTCTAAATATAAAAAGAAAATATTTTTAATTGTATTTCCTAAAGTGAAAAATCTATTGAAATAAATGTTTAGAGACAAAATGAGATAATATTTAATACGTTAAAAATATAAAAAATAATATGTAATACTTACATCTCTTGGCTCAACTTCCGCGCCAAACACACTAACAAATTTTGCCAAATGTTCAAAATGGCGTGTCATTTCAGTGGCCAAAATCATATCGATAATAGTACTTCGTGCCAATTTATAAGTATCTTTATCTAAATTCTTAAAAATATTGACGTTGTCATCCGCTGTGATAGAGTAAAAAATATATATAACATATGAAAATGATGATTGATTGGGATGTGAATAGTGAATATATGTATAGATGTATAAATACCTAAAGCCAGTCTAAAAGTAGTTGATGCATGATGTGATTCGAGTACGGTTAAATCGTTATACATTATAGCCAATGGACTATTTGAATTGCAGAGAAAAGCTGAAGAACGTCCAGGATGGTCAACATCATGGGCAACGGCAGCAATTAATGCTGTAGCCTCTTCCAAACGATCCATAACTAAGTCTTTGGCTGCAAGTTGTGATATGAAAACACCAGTTGCCTATATGAATGAAACATTAGGTTGGAGTGCATGTCCCTAGTGACAAAATTAAACAAGAAATATACCTGCATAACGTCCGCTGCATGAGTGCTGTTATGGTAGGAGTTATCGGCATGATATTGACTTTCCATTAGAGCAAGCCAATTTTTACATATGGTTTCATCCACTCCAAGAGTGCAGAAAACATCGAAACGCCTGAATATTTCCATGCCCAAATACAAAAGTGGATGCCTTTCGGTGACTTCTTCCAGTTTAAATATATTAAATTCCCAATTTAGAGATTCTTCCAGTATTTCCATAATGAGAGGGGTTGCCTATTTTTAACATCGTAAAGAAATTTGTCACAGGTTTTAAACATGAGTGCCAACAACTCTGAACTAACCTTCATTTTAGCTGGCATTATTCCAGGAGTGTTTGTACTATTGCAGGTACGACCAGACTTGACGATTGAGTCATTCGAGCTGCGTCGAGATGAATAAACGTTTGGCCCCTAAAAAGCGTTTGCAAAGCAATGACTATTAATACTGACGCAAAGCATTTTATAAAGCGAATACTTACAGTTAGAAGGGCACCAATTAGATCTGTTGCAATCGGATCATCTGGTCGAATTTCTTTCATTTGTGGGCTGTATAATCCTTCACGTTTCAAAAATTCCAATACCTTATCAATAAGTCGCGCCTCATCAGCTGAACAATTCTCCTGTACTTGCGAGAGTAAATTTATTATCTTCAGAGAAGATTATTTTTAATTTAACATTTGTTGCATTTTTGGTTTGAAAAGTGCAATTTATAAAGTAACGTAATTTTCAGGTTTCAAAAAAACGAACGAATGGACGAAATAACAAAATGTATATAACGCAGATCAGTAAGATGCAGGGTTAACAGTTAACGAACGCAATGCAATAAATAAATAAAAAAAGAAAAATTAGTAAATTTAAATACATAAAATAAAACTAAATATTAATACATACATACATATGTATAACTATAACATACATATGTACTACATTAGAGTGTACCGAGGAAGAGCTTTTTTAAGAATTTCATGTAGGAATACCTCTCAATCGATGCGTATTAATGCAATGAACACGAAAAAAATATAAAATATTTTTTTCGAATGGTCTTCAGTTCCCTACCGGTGATTGAAAATACCGACCTCGGTATTATTTTTGAAAAATAAAATATCTTAGATTTTTCGAAATGAGTCTTAAAAATTTCGTAATATTCAGCTAATTACGCGAAAAATAATCTTGCAATTTTTGTAGAGTATTTATGGTCCATAAAATGATTTTTAGTGGGTTGGAGAGACATATTATTTTCGCTATTTATCGAAATATATAGGTGTCAAAAGTGTACTAATCTTTAGCTTATACAGAAAATTTTTTTTAAAATAGTTCGGAATTTGGTATAGTCCATTTCAGAATTTTTTAAATTTGTTTGATAATTATATGCCCCTTATAATACACTAAAAGTTGTATTGCGGAACAGAAAATAAAATAAAATTTTCTTTAACATGTTGTACTGCGATGAAGATTTTCAATTGCCGGTAGGGGACTTGAGGACCTTTTTAATAAAATTGTTTTTTATTTTTGTCTTTAGTACATTTAAATGCATCGTTTGATAGGTATTCCTGCAAAAAAAAGTGGTCCACGGGACACCCTAATGTACATATGTATAAAAACATAATAAACAAACTAAATAATGGCGAGTGTCTTTCGTCTTGTTTGAAAAATGGCCTGTGTCCATTTTATTATTACACTATTTAAAGTGCATACATAGTGGTGGTCAAAACATTTGCAACCAAAAACGAGATTTTTTTAATAAAATAAAGTCATTATTTAAAAAAATTTTAAATTAAGTTTTTATTAATAATAACGGCAAAACTATTTAATTTTTAGTATGTCTTAAAATGTGTTCATAACTCTTGAACATCTTTAATGCAAGATTTAAATTGTAGGATTCTTCTCTGTGAACTGTTTTGGGATATTTCGTAAATAAATTTTATCTTCCTTCGTTCGAAATTCCTTATATAAAATCAGGCCAGATACATATTACCGTAGTTTTTTTATGGATTATTTTTTATCAAAAGTATATACTACACACATACATATGTATGCATATTCTTGGTTGTTATTAAATTCTGAGACCATCTAGCCGTTTTCGATTACGTCGGTATGTCTGTTAGGGATCATTGATATATTTGATATTGAAAATGAGCAAGGTCGGCTTATGATTTCACCTAGATCCCATACAAGTGGATATCCGGAATATAGTCTAAAGGGCCATAAATTAGTTTAATATATATAATATATAGTAATCTAAATAGTATTGTAGTATATGGTGAACATAAATATTTATGTATACCAAGTCTTCTTTCTTAATTGTTTTGACCACTAGTGTACTTGCAGTTAATTAATCATTTGTATTAATGGAGCTTAAGCCAGAAATCGAACAAAAGTTGAATATAGAATAAAAATTTATAATAAATATGTATATGGCTTTTTCAAGAACGGTCTAATGCAAAAGTAGTTGTTAAGAAAGAATGCTAATCATAAATCTTACCTTTGTTATAGGTGCCTCTAAAGGTAATGAAGTTAGTTTAGCTAAACTTGTACGCCTTAAACCATCTGAGGCAATTGATCGAACATCGAAACTTCCTCGTCGTATAGAGTGAAGTGAACCACGAGGTGCTTCTTTGGGTTGTGGTAGGGTTGCAATGAAATCCGTCTGCCCACCAGGTACATCGAAATTGAAAACAAAATGTGTAGGAGTTCTGCCAGAGAAACAAACATAAATATTTCAATATACATACATACATATTTAAGATAAAAGTACAGAAATAAGTTGTGAAAATTTTGGATAATTAATTGTTCCTTTTTAAAAATTTAATAAAATTAACTAAACATTATTTAATTTGGTATGTTATGAATTTATTCGAAAAAAATTCCATTATTTACGAAACATAATTTCTTTTATATGGCGTTAACAATAATTAAAATTTTTTTATAGTATTTATTTTATCGCATTATAAGAGTCATATAAATTCTATCCCACTCAAAGGTATTTTACGCAATTGAAAATTTTGCATGTTCATCAAATATTTAACGACCTGGTTAACCGAAATTTATGTGTATTCTTCGAGAATAATGCACAGCATTATATGTATGTATATTGATTTTGTCATTCCGTTGGTAACACATTTAAATATTGGCCTAAGACCATTATCGCGTCATAGAGGAAAATTCGACAAAAACAACTTTTATAGGAATCATATATTTTTCTAATAAATGTTTTAAAGGTTCGGTCCACAATTTACCCATTCCTCCATATAAACTCTGTTGAAAAAATTGTTTATTATTTTATCATTGTGAGAGAATCAGTTCCATATAGAAAACTAACTTGCGAAAATAATTATAAATACTTATAAATTTCAACAGAAAACTATTAATTTTACTTCATAATAAATAATTAAAATAATTATTATATAATATTTCACTGAATTTATACTATGTGTCGCCAAGGGGCTTTAAAGTATATACATATTTCACAATTTTTAAAAATTATTAACGTACCTGCCAATACATGCTACTGGTACTACCCGTACATGCATTGGTATGCCATCTTGATTTTTTCTCTTTACTGTCAGTATACCATCGAATTCTCGTATGCCTTTGCCAGAATTGTGATTGATTGAGGAAACGTCCGAAACGAAAATTTCGGCAAGAGGCTTGTTTATAATTTCATCCTATTTGGGATCAAATTTAAATGGGTTATTGTTATGAAAATTAATTTCAAAATTATAATCTTACCAATCGCATATTGAGCAATCTTTCCGCAGATCTGTTGGCGTACTGAATTCTTAGGAGATCATCTGTAATTATGAGAACTTCCTTCAGCCTATGCAGTGCCGTATAAAGTGCCTGTAAAATAAAATCATGTTAATGAACATGTGTACATATGTATGTCATTTATTACAAGACTGTCATATTCCAAAATTCAGTGTTTTTAAAATGAGAGCTACAAAACGTGTGACTTTCATATACTATATTTATCTAATGCTCCCCTAACATCATGATCACTCATCAAATTAACTGACCGTTTTTAGACTGATTTTGGTTCATATAAACCTGTTTACATCGCATAACATCGCATTTTTATGTCAGTAATTAGCGTTAAAGTAATTTTCTGGAGGCAGGCTTATATGGGCGGGTAGGGTAAGTTACCGACACTTTCCATATGAAAATCGGTAGAAAGTTGCTATATAATTTTTTATATCAAATGAAATGATCGTTAAAGCAATTTTCTGAAGGGGACTCTATATGCGGGTGGGGTAAATTATGGACCGATCCTCAATAAATTTAGTAGAGAGATTTTAACTCGTATAAAACTTATGTGTGTCGAATTTCATCGCTTCAATCATATTTTTAAGCCAGTAATGAGCTTTAAAGTCATTTTCTGAAGGGGAGCTTATATGGGGATCAATCATATGCCGATTCCCATAAAAGTCAGTAGAGAGGTTATGGCTCATAAGAAACTTGCTTATGTCGAATTTCATCTCAATACTCGTACTTTTAAGCCAGTAATGAGCGTTAGAGTAATTTTCTGTAGGGGACCTTATAGGAGGGTAGGGTCAATTATAGACCGATACACATACAATTTGGTTAAAACTTACATTTGTCGAATTTCATCGCTATACTCCTATTTTTAAACCAGTAATGAGCGATAAAGTCATTTTCTGAAGGGGATCTTATATGGGGGTTAGGGCCAATTATGAACCGATCCACATAAAATTTGGTAGAGAGATTTTGGCTAGTAAAATACTTACTTATGTCAAATATCATCGCTATACTCGTATTTTGAATCCAGTAATGAACGTGAAAGTCATTTTCTGAAGAGGACCTTATATGGGGGTGGGGTAAATTATGGGTCTATCCACATAAAATGCGGTGGGGTGATTTTGGTTCATAAGAGATTTGCTTATGTCAAATTTCATCGCTATACTCGTATTTTTAAGCCAGAAATGAGCGTTAAAGTCATTTTCTGAAGGGGACCTTATATGGGGTCGGGGGTAGGGTCAATTATGGACGATACACATAAAATTTATTAGAGAGGTTTTGGTTTGAAAGTGACTTACTTATGTCAAATTTCATCGCTATACTCGTATTTTTAAGCCAGTGGGGATCTTATATGGTGGGTAGGGTCAATTAAAGACCGATCCACATAAAATGTGGTAGAGAGATTTTGGCTAGTATGACACATACTTGTGCCATATTTCTTCGCTATACTCCTATTTTTAAGCGAGTAATGACCGTTAAAGCCACTTTCAGAAGGGGACCTTATATGGGGGTAGGGTAAATTATGGACCGATCCTCATAAAATTTGGTAGGGAGTTTTTGGCTCATATGAAACATATTTATGTTATATTTTATCGCTATAGTTACACTTTTAAAACATACATACATATATCCCCGTTAAGTCTGTTTTTCGAGGGTCCACATATATGGGGCCGATATGTCCCATTTTTCAATACCAAACAAACATTACCTATAGAGAATGTCCCATTTTTCAATACCAATCAAACATTACCTATAGAGAATATTTGTGGAAAATTTCAACCTTCTAACTCATTCCGTTCGGACTCTATGTTTTTAACAGACAGACAGATGATCAGACGGACGGACATGGCTAGATCGTCTTATAATTGTGCATAGTTTACGACTTAAACTTAAGGTTTAAAGAATATAAAAACATAAAAATAAACTTTTGTACTAAGTGTGCTATATGTTTTCAATAGCATTTCTTACCTGTTGAGTTGATATGACATTATGTGGTCGAACTATAGAGTGGAGAGTCTGTTTTAATTCCATTGTGCACATTGATAAATTTGTGCTTTCAGCCATGCACTGAATAAAACCAGAGTTGGGAAGATAGATATAAAGTACATGTGTTAATTATTATATATCGGTTCATGGTATAATGTAACTTACTCTATTAACGCCAGCGTCTAATAATGCATTCAGTACATCATCTCTTTCCGAAATGCTATAAAAATATGAACAAAAAATACATTAATTGAGATAAACAAAACACATTTGGAATATACACAAATAATAAATAAATCAATAATGATTAAGGATGGATTTTACAGTTCTCCCTAAGGAAAGAAATTATGCTTAAGTTTTGAAAATTGTATATATGTATGTATGCATGAAATTTCTTCCCTTAGTGTAAACAATAAAACCGCTCCAAAGTCATACATTTTGTTTGATTATCATTGTCTTATAATAGAATGGATGGAAATCTTATTTTTTACATACCTCTTTTTAACCACAGCTATTATTGTCGTGAAATGATGACCACTCATGTGACGAATAGATCTGAAAAAAACCATCGTAAAGAGTTGAAACTGTGATTCAAATTAATACATACATATGTAGATATATACATACATATATACTATATACATACATATGTAAGAGGTAAAGATAGAAAAATAATTAATCTCATAGATGACTGATTTTATAAATCCGAAATATACATCCGTGCAAGTTAATTATTTTCCTTCTGAGCAGATCAAATCAAACTAATTTGTTTACCTTGCAATGTGTTCAGCATCTAAATGTTTCGCAGAGCGTGCATCAACTATGATAATGTGATAGCATTCTGTGGCACTGCAAAGACTTTCCATGGCACTTTCTTTTGACTTCACTAATGTAACTTCCAAATGTTGACGGTTGCATGCTTGCTGCATCACCTCGCAAATACTATCGCTTTTAGGAAAGATCAAAAGAGCCTATTTCGAACAATGTGCAATTGAATGGAATGATTAGAATGCGAAAATATTTGGAAAAGTTATTGATTTTAGGTGGAATCAATTAAATAAAGAAAAAAACTTACCTTGAGATTAGGATTCGGTGGTAGCACTGTGGGGTATTTTATTTCAAAAACATTGCGCTGCAAAAAAATAAGCAGAAAATAAAATTATATTTTTATAAAGTCGTTCAACCACAATTTGTATGACTGTAGTAAATGATTTAAATATTATTATGGCCCTTAATTAATTGATACAGCAACACAGTAGTTTTCAGCTAATTTCGTGATAACAGATCCGCTAAAATAATCAATAAATAATACAATAGAACAATTTCCAATCAGATGTGTTCAAAATTCGTATACATATTACATTTTTAAAATAGTTTAATTGAAATCGTTTTACTAATCATACCACGGAATTAGACAGTTACATATTTATATATGTACATATCGTCACTTGAAATACAAAAGGGCGTAACAACCAAAAAATTTTGATTGCAAATAGTCCACTGTAACAAAATACATGTTGTTTTTTTCCACCCAGAAAGTCCTGAAGAGTCCTATATTCAAAAGTTTTTGTTGATGTTTGTACATAATATATTATATAAAAAAAAATAGTTTTTGTTTTATTTAGTTTTTTGTCTCTCCTGTAAAATTTTGAAAAGTGTTGTTACGCCCTTTTGTATTTCAGGTGACGATATGTATGTATACATATATTTTAATCGAGTAAATTATTTGTTTGACAATTAATTCCAAAATTTTGAAGTTTGCCTCAATCATTTTACGGCATTTGCGAAATGAATTTCGGCAATTATAATCACATACAGTAGCGACATCATAAATAGCACGTTTTATATTGAACATGCCGCATTTTATTTTTAAAAGAATTGAACATTTATCCTTCATTCAAATAGTATTTTTCTTCTCCTGTTAATTTTTCTAAATGTTAATATACTAGTGTTTATAAGCAATTTATTGCCATTTAAGTCATTTTCTGAAGGGAGATTTTGTAGTCAAATGAGGTCTGATCATAACAAAAATCGGCAGCCTTCTTATACAAAGAATATTAACGTAAATACTTCTGCAAATTAGCAATCTCTTACTAATTTAGATGTTGAGGAGTATATCAGCAACTGTTTAGTAACTATGTTGAAATCTAGAATTGGGATGACAAGTTTTAGTAACAGCGAACTGGACAACAGAGTGATAAAAGTCGCCGTTTACACGAACGATGTAGTGATACCGGTACCAGATACGTTTCTAGACGTGATTAGTAATATTATGTCAAACGCTCTGGTGTTACCCAATAACTTGGTCACAGATAGTTGTCTAGGAGTGAACCCAAGCAAGGCAGAACTAACATTATTCACAACAAAGACTAAGATCCAATGCTTCAACTTGCCGGTCAAAGAACTGCGAAATCCTTTTATCAAACAATGCTAAATATCTATGAATTATCCTAGATTTGAAATTATCATGGAAATTTATTATCCAACACAGAGTCAAGAAGGCAACGGTTGCCTTCTACACCTATCGTAATATGTTTTCAACATAGTTAAATGGATGTATACAGCTATAATACATCCTTTTTTATCATATACGGATCTCTTGTTTGATGGACTTCAACTAAAAAGGAATTAGTTGTAGATCAGCTATACAAAGTTCAGAGCATGCATTGGAATAACAGGTGCTCTAAGAACTAGTGCTGTCTGTATCTGTATAAATTTTTGAAGATAAGTGATATACCATAAACTTTTAGTTTCTAGTTGTACACATATTTATAAATGATTATATAAATATGTATGTCCATATGTTCTTACAAATTTAATAATAATTAATAAATAATTAAAAAACATTTCGGTACGTCATGGAATTCGAATGATTTGAAATCGACTGATTTGAAAAGGTGTGATGAATTTCGATCGAGGAATGGTTCATTATTCATTATACTACACAGACAACAAAATAGTTTCCATTTATGAGAACTAATTTAAAAATTATGATGAATTGTATAAAAAACCGCAATTCCATTTTAAAAATGAATTTCATTACATATCTGAACATATTAAGGGTTCTCATATAAACGTTTAAAACCCTCGCAAACTGTGCAACTTGTGCATATTTCCATTCTCGCAATTGAATTGTATGATAATTGATATGTACAACACTTGTAAGTTTAAGCGACTATTTATACTGGCAAACTTGAACAGTCTCATTGTGCATTTAATAAATCCGTTCTGTATTGATCACTTTTTAACGTAAAGACCTGAAATTTGACATTATAACTTATTTTTTATAATTTTTTATTTAAATAACTTCTTTTTTATTTTTTAATTTCATTTCACATTATTTTAAAATGTTTACAAATATTGTAATTGAACAGAATTTGAACAAGGGTTTCATGAAACAAGTCGAATAAACTTGCACCCTTATTGATTATATTTACTATTTAAGGCCAATTATTTACAACATTTAGTAATTTAAGTGTAAAAATCAGCTAAATAATGATCAGCTATTAACACTATATTTGTTCAATATGACGAACCTGTTTATTAAAATATAATATGTTGGAGATTAACAAATTTCTCTATTAATATTATAAACACTTTGTAAAAAACAAATTGTTCGCAGTTAACAATTTTAAGTAACAAAACTTTTTTTGTATCTACAAAAATACTAATTGGTGGCTTCTTAATTAAAAAATTAATTGTATTGACGAATTTGGTATTTAATATGTTAATTGATTTGTCGTAATTTTTTCTGTGCAGAGTTCCTTCTAGGAGCGAGTGGTGTAGGAGTAACATACCAAGTTAATAAATATACCACCAGAATCTTTACATATGGTCCTAAAATGATTTGCGATGCGGTTCTGTTGTCTTTTGTGAAGAAGTTGGGATAAGTATCTCTCACCGTTTTTGCAACAACTGTAGTGTTTTTCAGCCTGAAATATTTGCGATAATATCAGCCTGTAGGGTACTATACGTTCTCATTATTCGTTGCAACAGAAGAACTTTTTTGACAGTCAAGCGGCACTTCTTTCTATTAGTCAATCGAAGAAAGAAGGATTGTTAAGTCTGGGTCACCTGTCTGACATTACCCTTGTTTGGGTCCCTGGGCATAGGGAGTATTATGGAAATGAAAAAGCATATGAGCTTGCCAGAACGGGGTCTGGTCTTGATGTCTCCAACGCCGTTTCAGTTGCAACTCCATTGGGTTTTATTAAAAGCATTATCCTCAGGCTTTTTTGTTCAAAAGTCTAAAAATAGATGGAATAGCCTAGGTACATGTAAAGGGGCAAAGGTATTATGACCGTCTTTCCATGACACTTTATAACCCGAAATTGGTGGGATATAACGAGGTTGATACCAGTAATAACAGGACACTGGGTGCTAGGCAGACATGCAAGACGGCACGAGCTCTCTTTTATTGAGTAGTGTTGCAGTTGGAAAGACAAGGAAAAGGAAGAAACGGCCTTCAATCTTCACTGCGAATGCCCTGCTCTAGCCACTAAGAGAAACAGTTTTCTTGGCCATTACTTCATATCCAGATATCTGGGTCTAAACTTAATGACATTTTGAGATTTCTCACAATACTACATCTGACGAGTGGAGTGGTCCTGTGAAAACATAGTACATTCGACTCTACTTGACTGTTCGCGCGCAGTGAACTACCATGATAAGCAAGCAACCAACCAACTTAGACTTATGTGTATATGTAAATCTAAATTGTGCCGATTTTTGTAGATATAATAAGATAATTGTGAGCTTAAAAGCGCTATTCGGGGTGTTCGATTGTATAGGGGCTAGGTGAATTTAATAATTTATTTAATCAATATATTTTATTGAAAAGTTCTAGGATTAGAAAGTTCTTAAGGCTATTTTTTAAGAGATGTTTGCCAGTTGAAATGATTTTTGTAACATTTGGTAGCTATAATATTCCACAAAATTGTTTAGAGTGATTTCTGTACGCAACAAATATATTTTTAAAATTTTTGCCGAATTACTGAAATGTATAGTAGTAACAACTCCCTTTCTGCTATTATGAATCGATATTTATAAAATTTGTAAGACATTTTGTCCCGAAATTTGTACAGATACCACTGATATTAAGATATATGTATACTTGCTACAGATTTAAAGAATATTGCTAATATTGCGATATTAATATATTCTTTACGAGGAAGATTATTTAAACATACCTCAATTTCATGATCAGAATTCTTTGGTAATTTGTTTGGATTTATTTCAGTGGTGATGTCCGGTTTTTTGTTTTCCAAAATTAATTTAAGTTTTGGACTTTTTGGTTGACGTCGCTCATATAATCCAGATCTATTTGTACTTTGACATTTACGACGCAAAACAACATCACCGATATCAGAGTCGGAGGAAACGTCATCATCTGGTTGCTGTAGTTGCTGCCTTTGTTTAACATTTTGAATGTTTACTTCTGTTGGCATTAAGCGGTTATGGTTATTTCCTCGGCTGTGTCTACGATGTTGATGTTTACATTCATAACGCTGCAACAACTCGACTTTGTCATCAAGTGTTAGATTGTTAATGCGCAACGTATTGGCATCTAAATTGCGTATTACTTCGACTATAACCGGTTGAACGTTTCGTCCGTAGGCTAATGGGTGCAGGTGTTTTGTTTGAGTATCTGTTGGCAGTGGCGTCATCACATCTTCACATTCGGCAGCCACTTTGGCGTCGTATTCAATTTCCTCTGGAGTCTTGGCTTCAGCAACCTCATTGTTTACCACAATTGATGTATTGGCTGCTTCAGCGATAGTGGGTGGCGACGGTGGTCGTGATAGCACCTTTGGCAATTTCAATTTCAAGTCCTTTTCAATTGAGTGTTTGTTATTGTTGTTGTTGCTATGACTTGCAGCCGTTGTGGGGCGCTTGAGTATCTCTTCACTAGCGAACAATTCAATGTCTCGGGGTAGAGAAAGAGGCAATGGACTGTTGATAAAACTCCTTCTATTGTCTTCGACAAATGATTTGTATTCATGAATATAAGTGTTCGTTTTGTGCTCCTCACTTGTGTCTGAAGTATTATTGTTGTGTCCTCTGGCTGTGTCAGTTATTTGCGTGTGTGATTCTATTCTTTGATGTTCATTAGTTGCCGAAGTTAATTTTGTGTGGTTCGTTGTGGTTTCAATTTGCTGTATAAGTTTATCAGTTTCCGCATCATTGTTTTTAATTGTGGCTGGGTGTATGTCTTGGAGGTTCGATTGCTGTAAAGGGTTGGTAAAGTCTGTATCTAAAGAACTGTTATTATAAGTGAGCTCTGAGAGTTCTACTATATTATTTTTGATATTCTTTTGGCTGTTTTGGGGAACATTGAGTGGATTATTATCGTTGTGATTGTTAGCAGTAGCATTTCTTCCTAGACTTGGCGTCTTTTGGCTTGTAGTTTTAACGGCCTTCTGTTTATCTGCTGCCATAATATCGCTTATCTTTCGATGTTCAATTACGTTTTTTCGTTTATCGCCGTTATCATTATTATCACCATCATCGTCGTGGTAGTAATCATTGCTGTTATTATTATTGCCCGGCTGCTTATCAAAATCGGTCGTATCCGAACATTCGTTTATTATAATACATGCTGTTGTTGTCGTTGTGGTTGCCGCTTTTATTGTCGTCGTTGTTGTTGTTGTTCTGTATTCACCCTTACCGGCGCCCTCGTAATGAACGGGCGATTGCAAAAATTCCTCTCCATTTAAACGACTGTGCTCAGGTTGATTTTGTTGTATTGGTTTTTTACGAAATACATTTGTGATTTTTGTGAAACAATTGCGCATCGTTGTAACACTTTCCGATATAAATAAAATTTCAGATTTACGAGTTTTTTTTTTTTTGTTTTCAATTTATTTGTTTCAATATTTACTGTAAAGATGTATGTATGCACGTTTGCGATTTAATTTATTGGCAGCTTGATGGATTGATTCATTGATTTTTCACTTTGCCTCCTTATTTTTATTTAATATTTTTGATTTGATTTTATTTTATATGTTTAAAATGTTTACACTTGGATTCATATTTGCTAAACAACTTTTCTCGTTCTCTTAAATAAATTTTTCTAATCTCTTACTCTTACTTTTGATATAATTCATAAAATTTATTACATATTTTATTTATTTATTTTTGTTTTCAACTATTTGATCTTTTACAAAAACACACACTTTTTGTAATATTTACTACGCATATCACAGTAAAAAGATAAGATAACAGAATAAGTATTTTATTCTATTCGATTAAATGTTCAAAAAATCGTTTGCATTATTTTGTAACACACACAAACACGTTTATTTAAAATTGTACTTAAAATAACAAAAATATGTTTATTTAAATAAATACATATGTAAATATGTATGTTCATTAGAGTTATTCATTAATGTACAGAAAAACATCCTATAAATTCTGTAATTTTCAATGCCCTATGATAATTGCAAGGAAATTTAACTTTTATAACTATGTGTCTAAATCTTACTTGTGTGAAATTTTAGACCTATTGTATAACGGAACTCGTAAATCGATTGAAATTTATAAAATTGTGTTAATAAAAGTACTTTTTTTGATTTCTTTATTTATCCCAATTTTTGCACCCATAATTTTGCACCAGTTAGTTTTAGACACTATTGAACAAAATGAGACCCCATCCATACCATTGTCAGTGACTTTTTCATTAAAGGTTAAGAAGTATCAAATTCAGTCAAATATGATCAAGTTTGATGAAAATCTATAGAAATTGAGTCTTAGGACCTTTTTCCAGTTAACGTGCGAGTACTGTTAGTTAACATTTTACGAGTATTTTTTACAATAACAAAATTAATACATATAACCCTATTAATGAGTAAAATATGTTCTAAGGGGGTTATTTTGTAAATCCCTTCCTCTCACTTCACTTCATTTTTCACATATGTAAGTTGTTTTTGTATTTTCAAAATTTTGTATGGATATATTCTCAATTTCACGTTGAAGTGCTTTATAAAATAAATGTATGTATGTAGATGTATAATTTTAAAAAAGTAGAAGAATCCATTGCCGCTTAAGAAAATAAATCGGGTTAGGGAAATTTGAGATATACATACATTTTTAAGTCTGGCAACAAGTAAAAATACGTATTTTGGAGATAGCTCCTACTAAAAATAGGCCTTAACTACATTAGGTCACTTAGACAGTACCTATTCTTTGTTGGGAATTTGTACCACAGTGTTATTTATTACTGCTTCAGCTAGCTTTACATGGTAATACAAGTAATATGATGTGCATAATAATACAGATGGTATCGTCTAAACGTAAAATGATATGACATTTTTTGAAATGTTTCAAAAACCAAGGAAGTTCAGGGGTGTATTTTTATGTAATACCTACAACTGCTTCCCCATTAGACTTTAGGTAAGTGTGGGCTTTACTAGTGACGAGAAATATCTTATTCTTATTATATTACTTTGTAATGTCACGTACATAGACTTATGAAAGAATAAAGTCTAGGGCGATGAAATTTTTACCATACAGTATGATTTTTGTACATATAAAGCAAATTTGTGCTAAATTTTATCATACTTTGCACATTAATTTATCGGAAGTATGTATATATAGATAGGCCTTCAAATCTACTTAGTACAATTATATACATATAGTTATTTTCTCGATATTTTATTTTGTTTGATGTGTTGAAAGTTATCGCAGAAGTTCGGCAAATAAAAATGACTCAAAAAAGTTTCCCTTTAGATGGCATGTTTTTGTAAATTCAAATGGTCTAATTGTAAAGTAATTGCAATAAAAATAACGCATTTATTCTCCTATTTTTGCATGAAAATCAGAAATTCAAATCTATACGGAAGAATACTATTGTGAATATCACACATACACACGCATAAATTCCTATACATATTTGCAAATATATGAGAATGTATAAGAAAATATATATAATTTCATAAAGATTATTTTTTTCATCATACACATATACATATTTGTTTTTGGGAGATGTTGACGTCAAAATTCAGATAGTTGTTTTCTATTTGCAAATAATTATATTTTTTTATTTAATTTTTTATTGTTTCACTTTAATTATATAATGTTTAAACATTAGCTTTTAATTTATTTTTCCTCAAATATTGATGACAATTATTGATTGAAACGTTTTCATGTTTTTTCGTTTGTTGTTAAAATATCTTTCAACCATTTTATTTGCTTCACAATTATTAAATTGCTTTTGAAGTCGATTATAATAATGATTATTTTAACTACAATTTATACAAATTCAACATAATTATAATTATAATTTTATTAGAGATTTTTCGTTTAATTGTATGTAATTTGAAATCGGGTTAAAGTGTTTTGATTGGCCGCACGATATACGGGTTTTGTGTGACTTTTACTTCACTCACTCGACAAAATACTAAACGTTTCGGCTGAAGAATTGTACTAAGTAATAATGAAAACTCTTGAAAAGTAAAACAAAAAAAAAAAAAAAAAAAAGCAACAACAAATAAATAATAATGAAAGAATGAAATTCTTAAAAAACACTTTACTGTATTTTCAGTGGGTTCTCAATAAAAATGATTTAATTGTATTGCCAATTATTTGTTAAATAGTGATTGTAGAAGCAAACAAATGATTGGGTGTGCGCTCATTTTTAAATACAGTTAGGAGAAAAAGTATGGTTGCGGGTATTACACGGACATATATAAATACATAGCTGTGTATATTGAAAGATTATAAATCACTTTAAGAATTAATTCATTTAGGCGATAGCTACTGGGAATGCTTGAAATCATTCTATAATTCCACCAACTTTCACACAAACTTCACAAACTAACAAAATTCGAAATTACAGGGACTAAAATATAAACATTTCTAAAAGAATGAGCTACTCTGAATCCAACCCTATGGACTAGGTACGTCAAAAAAATCAACCAAAAACTTTTAATTCTACTTTTAATCTCAAAAATTCCAAAGGTGGCGCTATATATGGTCTTAAGTCATTAAGAATCGATCATTTCGTCACGATTTTCTCATTTATGAGATATACCTATACTGAATTGTATTGTTATATATCGATATTAATATTAACATTTGGGTGATTTTCAGAATCAGAGTTTTCGAGAGGTAGTCGCAATTCTTTCTCAAAAAATGTCTTTAAGTTATTATTTTTATTTTCACCATAAAAAGTAGGTATATTGTTGCCTCTAATTAGATTTTAAGACGTCCGTCTGTCTGTTGAAAATACGATACAGGCAGAAAGTGAAGAGAGCTAAAATATGTATCCTCTTTTGATAAGGTTTATTTGGTATTGAAAATTAAATTCATTGAGCTCCCACACAAATAAATATTTAAATATAGTCTTGTCGATCAATTCAATATATAACCATAGTTCCCTCCTTCCTTTGTAGTTATGTTTTTATTTATACTTATTCAAATAAATAATATTTTTAAAAGTGGTGTTCCAATATTTTCGACTATTACTGTACAAACACAGGTGTACAGATATTACTTATTATTGACTACTAGTATCTTAATTAGTCCTGCCCATGAAACTATGTCGTACTCTACATTACTGTTGTTTTTTAAAACACAAATATATTTAAGTAAACCAACCGCTTTAGAATACTTTCTGAGTTTCCTTAAATTATTACCGCACAAGAATCCCTATTGATTTTATAAATTTAATTTTCTCTGTATGAATCATATTTGCATTGATACCAAAAAAAAAAGTATTTTTAGAGCATGTTTAATGTTTTTATTATTTAAGAATGGATGAGAAACCATTTTTTGGTGAGGATTTTTCTATACATCAGAGATGGAAAATGAAATTAAAGTTTTGATCCGAAACTTGTATGATCGGTTCTAGTTAGAACATTATACAGGGATGGGATATGTAATAAGACATTTTCATATTACAGAAAACTAATTCAAGCAAATGTTCTTATCGAAGCTACCCAGCAAAAAATTACATGGAAAAGTAAGGGATTAAAATGATAAAATTTAATTACACAATAGCATTTTAAGACATTATTTTAACACGGTGATGACATTAGTGGCAAGTACTTACTACATTCGCTTACAAATAGGGAGTTACGTAAGTTCTTACTATGAGCGCCTGCAAATAAGTAGTTAAGTAAGTAGTTTTGTTTTTGAGGAAAACACTGCTGCTACTATTGTAAGAGCAAAACTCAAAAACAAAGCCTAATTCTAAGTAATGTATATAGTAGTCTATGAAAAGTAATTTGTTGAGTAAGTACAAGTCAAGTATGAAATTTAGTTTGAAAGTGAAACAATCAATCAAGAAAATTTATTAAGGAGATCAAGTCTAAATAACAAAAAAATTTTAGGTAGATATTTTAAATCGAAGTGGAAAATTTAAATTGTACCAACTCTGATAAATATTTTCTATTTACAATAAGAAGTCAATCATAAGTTCTAACAATGCGCTGTAGATTGTCTCTTCAAACCCAAGATCACTATTAGAGGGGTGGGTGTTGTACACATGTTATGTTGTTTGTAACACATAAAAATATTGATCCTAAATCTAAATCTGTTTACATTTCAATCTAGCCTCCATCCAAAATAACTTTTTGATTTGTATCCAATATTAAACCCTATATGATATCAAGATTAAGCTTGTAACTCACATTGATATTGTGATGTTCGCAGTATAGGACCGACTTTATGAAAGTTATTCGTAGAATATTATATACAGTCAGATATGCGGAACTATAAATCTCTCTTTTAATATTCGATTTTCTTTTACTCATATGTTTTCTCAAACTATTCAGAGTAAGAACTTTTTACCTTTGATTGACAATGATAAGACAACTTATCAGAAACAACTCTATTGAAATATTATAAAATAAATAAATAAAAATGGTATATTAACCCATTTATGCCCATAGTAAAAATAAACTATTTAAGGTACGAATTCTAAAAAATTAATAGCTTCTATGTATGTACTTAATTCATTTGAAAAAAAATATGACCAAAAAAGAGAACAAAATTGAATTTTTTTAAGTATTAACGTAAAAAAACACAATATGGTGAAGGGCATTTAAGATTCGGCACAGTTGAATATATGTATAACTCTTACGTGTGGTAATTAAAATCGGTTCATGTGCTTAAGAAAATTGTCATATCAAAATTTCATACTTCAACATTACGTAGACCGTCGCGGTCTTTAATGGATTAATACGGTATTGCATAAAATTTTATTTACACACATATAAGAACACAGTCATTAAGCATTACGAAATGCTCAGCCTCCATCAAAAATAACCATGGTTAATTGATTTTGTTAGATTCTAAGAAAATATATTTTTTTGAATGCGCAATACAATCCGATCGGGAGGGACCAGATGACCATAAATATTATCTACTGGTAAAGTATTAAAAGTGGTCCCTTATAATACAGTTAAAACAGTCATAAATACATTGATTATGTGAAGTATAACAAAAAACGGTCCACAATTAAGCTTACAATTGAGGTCATCTTCAGAAATGTGTATATTAAATGTAGAATTTAATACAGACGCATATAACACACTCACGTGTTTTTATATTTACCTGATGTTGGTCTATTGATTCATCCTCCGGTGTTAATGCAAGTGATGATTTCCTGTGGCCAGGTCTACCACCTCCAGATGAACTTGTTCCGGATGTACCCGTGCCTAGAATGAAATGAGTAAGATTTTAATATACATTAAGAAATGCAACAAATTAATAAATACTTATACAAAAAGAAGAAGGAAGAGTTATGTACATTAGGGTGGCCCCAAAATGGAAGTTGCTGATGTTCTCACCGAAAATGAAAACTTATTTCATTCTAAGATACAATTTCTCAAAATGTTTGTCCTGACGTCAATATTTGGCGAGCTGGATCAAAGGATAAAACGGTCCTTTTTTAAGGTTTTTATGATTTTTTACACATTTTTAGCAAATAAACCATACGCAAATTTAGTATCATATGAAAGGTCTTTGAGAGACGGTTTCAATGACATAACAAAGATTTGTATACAAAATTATTACTAATGTCGAAATTTTCCGGAACATTTTTAAGTTTTTAAAATTTTTGCATAGAATTATATAATATAATTAATTGAAATTATTACATTTTAAACCTCATACAATTTCATCGAAATGTTTTTTTCTGTTTTTCGAAATTCCTTATATTTTGTATTTTATTTTAATATTTTAAACCCTATTTTGTCCCAGGTTTTCTGTACATCAGCATATGCGTAATTTCATTAACTTTATAATGGTATATAACACTTAATGGTTTCATTCTATTATCAATCCAATTTTTCAGTTCAACTGAAATCTTAACACAATTATACCAAACATCCACTTATTTGTTATGCTTGCTTTGTAAATAACGGTTGCTATGTTATTGTTTATATTATTTCGCAATGTTTTGGTAGCGTACATAGGCTTCGTTAAATTTAAATAAAATTTAATCTAGATTGAATTTTGAAAAACGGAAAAATCGTTTCGGTAGATTTTATTGAGGATTATTGTGTATTAATTTCAACGAATTATATTAGATTTATCTGTCTTAAAATGTAAAAAATCTGACCCCAGGACCAAAATTTTGAGAAACGCAATCTTATAATCAATTAAACTTTAATTTTAGCTGGGAACATCGACACCTTAAAACATTTAATGCTGTTTTACTCAAAACGAAGTTTTTTGTTTTATTCCGGTCTTGTAGTAAATGAGCGATATAATCCTTCAAAGAAAACTTTATTTAAGTAGATTCGAGTTAAAAAGATAGTACTAATTTGTACTGATTCAAAATCGGGTAAAATTTATATTAAATTCTTATTGTGATTATTATATATATACATATGTACATACGTATGCATATAATATAATCCATTATCAATAGTTTTACATTTTGATTCTAAACATCTCTTAGAATAAGTATATTAAAGAGCAAAAAAGTATTCGAGCCATTTTTTCATAAGAAAAAATCGAGGGTAGTAAAACAAACAAAAAAACTGATTTTCAACCGGTTGAATCGATCACCCTAATTCATACTTACTACTGGTATATATACTGATTTGATTGTTGAATTGCCAATGATTTCTATACATAATTTATCGATTTTTCTTTTCTCTTGTTTATCATTCGTATGTAGATAAAATAAAAAGTACTTACTAGCAAAAAAAGGAATAGATTTTTTATTTGGCTACAAATAAATGCAAAATTCTTTAAAATATGTTGTATTTATAACAATTTCAAAGAATGTTTGTAACTTATTTATGTTAAAGTATTTATGTATTGATGGAAGCTAGGGTCAAATATGGATCGATCCTCACAAAATTTTGTGAAGGTATTTATTTAAAATAAATTTGAGCCGAGTTATGTTAAAGTCATTATCTGAAGAGAACTTTGTATGGAGG